GATAATAGTCTCAAAGAGAAGCATTATATATATATATATNGGATTCAAGTTCATTCTTATATGTCTTTAATTAATGTTGACTTATTGTTATGTTCCAGTTCTGTCTTACATATTCTATACATTATTCGTACTGACGTCCTTTTGTTGGGGACGTTGCATTCATGATTGCAGGTATAGGTAATAAGTTTGACGAGCCCTCATAGTAGATGAGGTTAGCATTCAGCGTAGGATCGGTAAGACTCCACATCATTCGGAGTGCAGCCGAGTCTATAAGTCATTGTGTTAGAGTTTTGCTACAGACTATTGTTAGGCAGGGGCCCTGTCCTATTTTATGTCGAATAATCTTAGAGCCTTTGTAGATAGAGGTTCATTTTGTGCAGTATGTCAGACGCCTTGACGGCCCATATGTATTCATGTTTTAAGAAAGATGGTTCATTGGTACAATGTTTTCCTACTTACAGTGGTACATTATGAGTTGTGGCCATGTGGGCCCATGATAGTTACAAAAGGAATAAGTTCAGCTAACTCGACCTATGTATGTTCTAGTTTTGGTCGAACGATCATGAGTTATAGAGTGGTTCGCTCAGGCCAGCACGGCACCGGGTGCCAACTACGCCTCCCTAGGGTTGGGGTGTGACAAAGTAGTATCAGAGCAGGTCGTGTCCTAGGGAGTCTACAAAGTCGTGCCTAGTGGGGTCTCACTTATGGGTGTGTTGCGCGCCATATTTATAATTGAGAGGCTATAGGGCATTTAGAAAATGTTACCCTTCTTTTGTTTCCAGATCGTGCCATAGAGTAGAGTCGTAAGAAGTCAGTATAAAGCTTTCACCAGATTTTGTGTGCACCAGAGGTGCAGGTATCACAGTAGAGCCTTAAGGCGTAATTTCCACCTATGTGGAAGGGGTTATGAAAGAAACATAAGATACGATGCGAGATTCAAAAGTGAGTAAGGTAAAGGTGAAGAAGATACGATATTCTAAAGTACAAAAGGTTGTGAATAGTCGAGACTTCATATAGAGGTTGGATTTTAGTTTAGTTTACAGAGGGACAACTTGTCATAGTTATGTATATGTTCACAAAGTAAGGCCTAGAGATTGGCTAAAAGCTAGAGGGAAGAGCCGCATAGGCACACATACAAGGAAAAAGTCGTACATGCTGCATGAGAGAAGGTAGCAACAGTTACAAGTTAGAAGAATTTTGACCACAGGTCGTGGTGTGAGAAAGGGGCCCAAAGGCGGGAATGCCCTAAACTTTGGATTTATTCACAGAACAGTTGCCTCGATGGCAAGGACAATAGTAAAACCATTCGTAAGAGCTATTCGGTTATGAGACCGATAAGTGCATCAGCCAACATTTGAAGACGAATGTTCCAAAGGGGGGAATGATGTTACACCTCGTAGTATTGTACGTTGGATTTGTCATAAAATAATTGACATCAGTTCAAGGACAAGATTATTTTGAGGTTATAAGTATTATGTGTTACATTTCACGTTTTCGTACGTTAAAGTTTCGTCGAAAATTAATCGACGTAGACTCGGGAATGAGATTATTTTTGAGGTTATAAGCATTTATGTTATTGATAACAGGTGATAAGTAAGTGCCATGACGGTTCAAGGGTAGACGAATCAAAGCAAATGAGCTTCGTTGAAGGTTGTCATTTTTAGTTAAAATACGGTTCAAACTATAATGCCCGGTATTTACGGACTAGTGCCATACAAGGTACCATATGACCATGATAGTAAGGTATATAAAGTGTGTTAAAAGTGAGTAGTATTTTAAGTAATTTGAGATAATTCTTAATTATGTGAAGAATTGATTAATTGTGGGGATTAAGTGAGAATTTTGGATAAGTACTAGGGGACAACCTCCACGTGGGAGTATAGAATTTTGGCAACAAATTAGTGACTCTTTACTTACTTTATTAGGTGGCAAAAGCTACACATATAGCATATACACTCCTTGGATATGAAGATTTCATCAAGTGATTGTGATTAGATGAAATCTATTCCAGACTTCTTTTTATTTTATTTCAATAGGTGGTCATTCCATTTCTCTAAACACTTGTTACATCAATGAACTTGTGTATAAAGAATGAATCAAAAACGTTTAGCATCTCTTTAGTTAATAGCTAATTCCTTCATGTTGAGAATTCATGCCAACACCTTGAGGATAATTCTTTTTAATGTGATCCAAGTCTAATTCTTCATCTATGACCTTCTCGAGCTCTTATGAGCAATTAAGGTATGTTAAGGCTATCCTTTCTTTCTTTTGGCATGATCCAAGTAACGATACGTAAACGTAATATTATTTCATAAATGGTTCTACTCTTAGTAACTAAGAAGGTCTACGTTATTCATTCTTGTAAAATGATATTAAAGCATGTCTAACTATGTATCTGGTTCCCTATTGAGGTATTTGATAAAGATGTTAATATTTATAAGATAGTGATATATGCATCTTCATGCATTTACCACCGTGCTACGGCCGGTTGGGAAGACATGCATATACATTTACAACTGAGTTACGGCCGGTCGGGCAGTCATGCATTTACCTCCAAGCTACGGCCGGTTGGACAGTTATACACTTACCACCAAGCTATGGCCGGTCGGGTAGTCATGCATTTACCACTGCGCTACGGCCGGTCGGGCAGTTACCACTGATCAGTTGGGAAGTCATGCATCATACGATATGGATAATAGTCTCAAAGAGAAGCATTATATATATAAGTATAATAAGTATGCATATATGGTGGCACTTCAGAGATTCAGGTTGATTCTTATATGTCTTTAAATAATGTTGACTTATTGTTATGTTTCAGCTTTGCCTTACATACTCCATACATTATTTATACTGACGTCCTTTTGTTGGGGACGTTGCATTCATGCCTGCATGTATAGGTAATAAGTTTGACGAACCCTCATAGTATACGAGGTTATCATTCAGCGAAGGATCGGTAAGACTCCACTTCATTCGGAGTGCAGCCGAGTCTATAAATCATCGTGTTAGAGTTTTGCTACAGACTTATTGTTAGGCAGGGGCCCTGTCCCATTTTATGTCGAATAATCTTAGAGGCTTTGTAGACAGAGGTTCATTTTGTATAGTATGTCAGAGGCCTTGACGGCCCATATGTATTCATGTTTTAAGAAAGATGGTTCATTGATACAGTATTTTCCCACTTACAGTTGTACATTATGAGTTTTGGCCATGTGGGCCCATGATAGATACAAAAGGAACGAGTTCAGCTAACTCAACTTATGTATGTTCTAGTTTTGGTCGAACGATCATGAGTTACAGAGTAGTTCGCTCAGGCCAGCACGGCCCTAGGTGCCAGCCACGCCTCCCCAGGTTTGGGGCGTGACAACAAAGTCATGAGCTCTAAACCAAAAATACATGTCTGAAAACTGAATACCAACACAGTCTGAAATAAAGACAATAGTACAAAACTGTGGTCGAGATGCAGCTCTACCTCGTCTCTTGGGGACCAAATCAGCTAGTAAAATATCGCTACCAGTGACTGGGCCAGACAAATGGATATGCACAATTAAATGCAGAGTGTAGTATGAGCACAACCGACCCCATGTACTCAGAAAGTATCATCAATAACCTCGTGGAGGTAAAAAAAAGCAAGAATTATAAATGATACTCTCTAACCACCTATACAATTCATAAATACAACAAGTACAAAATAATAATCTAATTAAGTCATGAATCTCTGAAAGAACCACCTTGGAGCGCAAAATTACTTAATAGCTCTATTTAGTCAAAATTGTGCATATAAAGAAGATATGTAATTAAAGTAGATAAGAGTCAAGGAAGTTGTAGGTAAAGAAGAAATGCAACAACCAAATCAAACACTAGCTTTCATTTCCTCAGAATTTCCATAATAGTACAAAACCACTGATCATTTTTTCTCAATCCACGTGTACACCCTCAAGTGAGAAATATGAGAGGGTGACCTTAGGGGGCTGATCCATCGCCCACATTCTTAACAACACAATCTTCCTGGCATGGTCACATGTACAATATCACAATCCACCCGGCGTGGTCACGGGCTACCAATCCAAACCATATCACACATAAAGCATATATGCAAGAATACATGTACATGATCAAAGAACATAAAATTTGATAATCCTGGACTAGTATAAGTGACATGCTAATGTGTATGCATGTGCAAGTGTGTTATCATAGCTCCAATTAGGTGTATACATCACAAAATAACAGCTATGGTGCTTAACCAGGAGATTAATCTCTGTGCAACCTCAAACATGGCTCAAATAGTTCACAACATGGGGTACAAATAAGAGAAACATCATAGCATGAAGCTTAGCAATCAAGTTAAGGCATATCGTAGTCTCAGCACTGGCCCGAGCATGGATAAATACCCCGGTGCACGCACATGGGCTCAACCCCATCACACATGCGCCACCCACAACACGTAGCTATCATAAATAACTCAGGACTAGCCTCAACAAAGTTTAGGTAAGATACTTACCTCAAGAAAGACAAATTACTCCTCTAACAAGTCCTTCTCGCGCATATCAACCTCTAGATGGCCTGAATTGAGCCAAATAATTTAATAACAGCAATAGGAAACGATTCCAAAAGATAAAGCTAAAATATTTAACTCAAATAAAAAAGTCAATCCCAGGCCCGCACCTCAGAACCTAACCAAATTCACAAATTCCGATCATCCATTCAAATATGAATCCAAACATACCAATTTCATCCAATGCCAACAACAAATTAACCCTCCAATCATCAAATCTCACTCTCCAATAACATTGTCAATAAACCCCCAAATCCGACCTCTAACTCATGAAAATAAGTTGTAATAATCAATAGGCAATCAATATGTAGTACCAAAAGTGAGTAAAGATCACTTACCTCTTAAATTGTGATGAAAAGCACTAAATTGCCCTAGACCGAGCTCCACAATTAAAAAAATGAGAAAACCCCTCAAACCGTTCGATTATAAAACATGTCCAGCAATCGCTCACCTGCGATCTCTTAACCACTTCTGCAGAAAAGTGGCCGTATATGCGAACCCAGCCAAATGCTCGACCATCCGCTTCTACAGGAATACTCCCGCACCTGCGCACTCGTACCTGCAAAAACTTTCTGCATCTACAATTCCTTGTCCTTCAGCCAAATTCCACTTCTGCGGACCCCTCATCGCAGAAATGCATCCGCTCCTACGAAATCCTGTGCGCATCTATGAACTTCCCCCGGACAGGCTAACCTCGCACCCGGGCAACAACAGCTGCATCTGCGACCAATCCCACCACAGATGCGAAAGAACCATATGCCAAATGCTTCAACAATAACACTAAGTCCCCAACTTGTCTGACCTTAATATGAAACACTCCCGAGGCCCCCCGGACCCCTTCCTAACATTCCAACCAATGCCAAAACATAACACAAACTTACTCGTGACCTCAAATCACATAAAACAACATCAAACCCATAAATCATACATCAATTCAAATCTAATGGCATGTCGAACCATAATAAATAAACTCTGAATGACCTCAAATTTTGCATGCAAGTTCCAAATGACACAACAGACCTATTCCAACTCCCGGAACTAAAATTTGAATCCGATATCATCAAAGTCAACTCTCGGTCAAACCCATAAACCTTCTAAACCCTCAAGTTTTTAACTTTTGCCGAAAGGCACCAAACTAACCTATGGACCTCCAAATCCACATTCGAACATACACCTAAGTCCAAAATCACCATACAAAGCTATTGGAACCATCAAAACTCCATTTCGGAGTTGTCTATATAAAAGTCAAACTGTGGTCAACTCTTTCAACCTAAGCTTCCAACCTTAGGACTAATTATTCCAATTCTCTCAAAAACCTTCCCGAAACTAATACAACCACCCCAACAAGTCACCTAACCACAAATAAACATAGAAGTTTCAATAAATAGGGGGACGAGGCTAAAATACTAAAAATGATCGGTCGGGTCATTATATTCTCCTCCTCTTCAACAAATGTTAATCCTCGAACGAGTCTAGAATCATACTTGGAGTCTCAAAAAAGGTAATGACATATTTTCCGTATCTCCTGCTCGGTCTACCAAATAGCCTCTTCGACCGGTTGACTTCTCTAGTGAACCTTCAGTGATGCTATCTTCTTCGACCTCAACTTACAAACCCGTCGATACAATATGGCGACCGACTCCACATAATAAGTCAAATCTCCATCTAAATTCATGGTGTTGATGTCCAAAACATGTGACGGATCACCATAATACTTCTGGAGCATAGAAACATGAAACACTAGATGAACTCCCGATAAACTATTTGGCAAGGCAAGTCTGTAGGCCACCTCTCTAACTCTCTCAAGAACATCAAAATGGCCAATATACCTAGGGCTCATCTTTCCCTTCTTTCTGAACCTCATCACACTATTCATGGGTGAAACTCTGAGTATAACCTTCTCACCCAGTATATATGCAACATCACTAGCTTTTCTGTACGCATAACTCTTCTGCGTGGATTGTCTTGTACGAAGCTGCTCTTGGATCAACTACACCTTCTCCAAAGCATCGTGGACCAAATAACTGCCCAACAATCTAGCCTCCTCAGGATCAAACCAACCAATTGGAGAACGACATCGCGTCCCATATAAGGCCTCATAAGGAGCCATTTGGATACTCGACTAAAAGTTGTTGTTGTAGGCAAACTATGCTAACGGATGAAACTGATCCCGTGAACCACCAAAATCAATGACACAAGCACGTAACATGTCCTACGAAATTTGAATGGTGCGCTCGGACTGTCCGTTCATCTGTGGAAGAAATGATGCTCTCGGACTGCCCAAAACTCGCTACACCACTCTCAAAAAATGGTATGTCAACTGATTGCCTCGATCCAAAATAATAGACACGAGAAAACCATGAAGGCGAACAATCTCCCGAATGTAAATTCGAGATAGGTGCTCTTAAGAGTAGGTATTCATAACTGGAATGAAGTGTGCAGACTTGTCAGTCTGTCTAGAATAACCCACACTGCATCAAATCTCCTCAAGGTTCATGGAAGTCCAACTACAAACTCCATAGTGATACGCTTTCACTTCCACTCCGGAATATTAAGCATCTAAAGAAAACCACAGGCCCTTTGATGCTCATACTTTAGCTGCTGACAGTGCAAACACTGAGCAAAACATCCAACAATATCCTTCTTCGTCCTCTGCCACCAATAGTGTTGCCTCCAATCATGATACATCTTCGCTGCACACGGATGATGGAATACTGCGAACCATAGGCCTCCTCAAGAATCAACTCATGCAACCCATCCACATTTGAAACACAGATTCGACCCCGTAATCTCAATACCCCATCATCACTATTAGTAACTTTCTTAGCATCACCATATTGCACCATGTCATTCAGGACAAGCAAATGGGGATCGTCATACTGACGCACTTTATGCACTCAAACAAGGACAACTGTGATACAACACATGCAAGAACTCTGTCGGGCTCCGAAATATCCAACCACACGAACCGAATGACCAAATCCTGAACATCCAATACTAATGGTCTCTCCCCAACTAAAATATAAGCAAGACTCCCCATGCTCTATACCTTCCCACTCAAAGCATTAACCACTACATTGGCCTTCCCTGGATGAAAAAAATGGTGATATCATAGTCCTTTAGTAGCTCTAACCACCTCTGTTACCTTAAGTTCATATCCTTTTTCTTGAACAAATGTTGGAGACTCACGTGATCGATGAACACCTCACTAGACACGCTATAAATATAATGCCTCCAAATCTTCAGCGCGTGAACAATGGATGCCAACTCCAAATCATGTACAAGGTAGTTCTTCTCATTGGGCTTCAACTGTCGCAAAGCATACGCAATAATTCTACCCTCATGTATTAATACAAATCCAAATGTCAGTCTATAAAGTATCACAATAAACTATAAAGAACTCGATCCAGAAGGCAAAACCATAACTGGAGTTGTAGTCAAGGCAGTCTTAAGCTCATATGTAATTACTCGGCCGGTTGTTTTAAGTATTGTAGCCTCTTTCCTATATTTATTGCTTCTTCTGTGTACAGTTATGGTTATGTGACTTTTCGAGATGGTTAGTTTGGTTCCAGGGATGATTTAGAGTGAATTGGGAAACTTACTCCTAAGGTTGAAAACTTAGGATGGAAGAGTTGACCGGAGTTTGACTTTTGTGTAGATGACTCCGTAATGGAGTTTGATGCTTCCGATTCATATGGCAATTTTTGACTTAGGTGTACGTCCAGATATGGATTCAGAGGTCCGTGGGTGGGTTTGAGGCTTTTTGGCGAAAGTTAGAATATTGAAGGTTGAGAGGTTTGACTGAGAGTTGACTTTGTAGACATCGGGTTCAGATTTTGATTCTGGGAGTTGGAATAGGTCCCTGTGTCATGTATTGACTTGTGTGCAAATTTTTCGGTTATTGGGAAATGGTTTGATATGATTCGGAATTAGTTTTAGAAGTTGGAAGTTCATTAATTAATTAGGCTTGAATCGATGTGCGATTCATCATTTTAGTATTGTTTGATATGATTTGAGGCTTCGAGCAAGTTCATATTGTGTTTTAGGACTAATTAGTATGTTTGGGCAGGCCCCCGGGGGAGTCGGGTATGATTCAGATGGGTGGCAGAACATGTTTTCACATGGGAGTTTTTCTAAAGTTTTTGATGCCTGCTATGATCGCACCTGTGAGGAAGGAGCCATAGGTGCATGGCCGCAGAAGCGACCTGGTGGTCGTAGAAGCAAATATAGGGAAACTGTTGAGGGAGTCCGCAGATGTAGAGAAGTTAGAGCAGGTTCCCAAGCGCAGATGCGCAGGGTATCCACAAGTGCAGAGCCGCAGAAGCGGCTTGGAGACCGCAATAGCTAAATTGAACCGGAGTTGAGGGACCGCAAGTGCAGAGAATTTCTGTAGGATCGGACGCGCGGAAGCAGGGACCTAACCGTCTAGCTGTAGGTCGGGAGTTTTATTGGGATTCGCAGAAGCGAGGTCTGGACCATAAAAGTGGTATCGCTGGTGCACGTTTGGGGGCCGTAAGGGCGGAATCACTGGCAGGTTAATAAAAATCGAAGGGTTTCATTGTTTTCTCTTTTTCTGAATTAGTAGAACTCAGTCTAAGGCCATTTTTGGAGCATTTCTCATCCCAATTAAAGAGGTAGGTAATGTTTAGTCGATCTTGGTATTAGATATTGAATACCCATTGATTATTTCACCTAATTTTCATGAATCTAAGATAGAATTTGGGGATGTTTGGACTATGTTATTAGAGGTAAAATTTGAAGATTTGAGGGTCAATTTATGGTTGGAATTGGATGATTTTGGTATGGTTCGACTCAAAATTTAATGGTTGTTTTGTATTTATGAATTTTTTTCGGGTTTTGAGGTGCGAGCCTAGGGTTGACATTTTGGGTTGACTTTTTGATTTGACTTAAAGATCATAGCTTTATATTTTGGAATCACTTCCTATGGCTTTTGTTGATGGTATATCATTGTATTGGCTAGATTTGAGTCATTTAGAGATTAATATATGCACGAGAAGGGCTTGAGGTAAGTATCTTATCTAAACTTTGTTGAGGCACTAGTTTCCTGAATTATTTGTGATAGCTACGTGCTATGGATGCGCACATGTGTAGAGTTTGAGCCCATGTACTAACACCGAGGTATTTATTCATGCTCGGGGTAGTGCTTAGGCAATGATATACCTAGAATTGACTGTTAAGCATATGGATTTACTTTATCTCATATTTGTAACCTTGTTGTGAACTATTTTAGCCACATTTGAGGCAACATGGAGGCTAATTCTCTTAATGAACTTGATAATTGCTATTTCTATGATGCGATCGCCTATTTGAGCGATGATGGTACACTTTGCACATGCCTACACTTTAGCATGTCATTCAAACTAGTCCAGGAATATAAGATCCATTATTCGGTCATAACATACATGTACTCTTGTATATTTACTTTTGTGTGATATGATTTGGATAAGATGCATGTGACCACGCCGGGCGGATTGTGTTGTTATGCCTATGATCACATCGGGCGGGGGGTTGTTATGCTTGTGACCATGCCGGGCAGATTGTGTTGTGTTATATCTGTACTTTTGTACTTTGGATTTGTCGTAAGATACTCGACATAAGTTCAAGGACAAGATTATTTTTGAGGTTATAAGTATTTATGCTATTTATAACAAGTGATAAGTGAGTGTAGTGTAGGTCAGAGGGTAGACAAATCAAAAAAAATGAGTTTGGTCGAAGTTTGATATTTTTGGATAAAATACGGCCGAAACTATAATACCCCATATTTATGGACTAGTACTATACCACATGACTGTGATAGTAAGGAATATGAAGTATGTTAAAAGTGATTAGTATTTAAGTTAAAAGAGATACATAAATTAATTATGTGTGTAATTAATTAAATGGAAAAGTGTAGTGGATGTACGTAAATTGTTCGGAATTGTTGGATGACTATTATTCCACATGGACCATATATATATGAGCAGAACGTGACACTTATATACATGAGGTTTAAACTTTGGTGATCAGTCATTATGTGTGAACCTAGAGGATTACACGTGTAGAATGAAAATGGGGTATCTGATGCTAGTAGTGTAATATGCCGTACTTTAGTGTTAAGATGAGTCATAGTAATCCATATGAGCTTGAAGGGATTATGGTAATTCACGAGGTTATAGAGGATTTAGTGTTATTGTAAGACGTCATAAGTATGACAACCTTGATAATGTTAGATACATTTTGATATGGTATTTCTTTTGACTAGAACATTTTTGTAAGAAGTTTGAAACATATGGTTTTATATAGTTATTAATATTACTACTTTCGGATATGCTTAAAATTATATAAATAATATGAGAACGTTTATAAATGATATTTTCTTTATATAGAAATTATTTTCTCACAAGGAAAGTAGGTTATCTTTTTACCGTTTTGAGAATTAAGCGTACGTAAATTTGTACTCTTTATATGAGATTAGAAAAATTAGAATTTGTAAAAATATATATATATATA